CAGTGCTGGGGAGTGGGGGAGGAGGAGGCTGGGGTGCCCATAGGAAAGGGCCGGGAAGCTATCAGCGGCACTGCTGATAGGAAGCCATTCATCTTAGCCTCCCCCGCACTCCCTTTGGCTTTCTCTGAGGCGCAGTTGTGGACTGTGGGGAGGTCAGAGGGTGCCGTGTTTTCCGTGCAGGCTGCAAACTCTGCGGTTGCAGAGCCTTGGAGCTGGGGCCCCAGATAATCCGATGCCACTCCCTGACGATGCTGGGAGGCCATAGGGCTGTGTACTCCAAGGCTTGCAGCATCTCCGCAGCTCGAGAATGGAAGCTCAGGCCCAGGCTGAAGTATGTGCTTGCTGGAGGCTGTTTTGACTTGCGGTTAGCCCCGAGGAGAGGCTCAAGTAGGGAGGGAACTATGCTGTATCGATTGTTTCTTTTCTAGGCACCAAGAAAGTACATTTTACAGAGCTTCAGCGGCAAATCTCGGTGTCCGTGTGTCATTTTAAAGCTCCAGTGGCCTCGTTTCAAAAATAAGTCTCAGCTTTCCTTACCGCGTGCTCTGGCTGCTTTCTCGTCCCTTCCTGTGTTATGCTAGGAACAAAAACGGCATGGATGCAAGCGTGTGTGAAAGAAAACAGCTTAGACTGGCCAGTCACACTCCTGACCCCACTTCTTCCCTTTTTTCCCCCTCTTTTCTTTTGCCCCTACAAATCCTCTGCAAAACCACAACAAGCAATCAGACTCAGCTACCCTAGGTTTGTGAAAGCTATTTTCAGACGCCATGGCAAAGTCTCCTGCATATGGCCGTTTGCTCCTCCTGCAGAATTAGTCTCAGAAAGACAGGATCAGGTCTAAAGTGTGAAGGCAACAACAGGAGAGAGAGAGAGAGAGAGAGAGAGAGAGAGAGAGAGAGAGAGAGAGAGAGAGTTGTTTTTCCAAGGAACTAACTGGTTAGCTCAAATCCATATGTGAAATACAGTGCACACACACCCCTCTGCTTTGGATGAAATGGCCTGTGGTCCCCAAAAGTTCATATGCCACTTTTGGGGCTCTTATGCTTTCAGCTTGTAATGCTGCAATGACAGGAAAAGCTGCAGTTGCCTGTTCTCCCTCCCAGTCTTAAAGGTACTGTACTCTCAGGATCTAGGTCTAAGTTCTCTTATGCATCCTTTAGATCCAGGATGGGCAGAAAGAGAACTCCAGAAGTTTGGGTCCCCCACGTTCAGTCTTCCCGGCCATTTTTCATGCTGGCAGAGGATTCTGTGCAAACCGCTGAAAATTTGCTCACTCCTGCGAGAACTCTGGCCCAGAGATCCCCGTCTTCCAACCGTCATGCACAACAACTCCCAGCCATCCCTTAACCATTTTGTCCCAGGCCTCTGTTCCCATCAGGGGACCATGGCTTAGTGGTAGAGCAGATGTTTGAAAGGAGCTGGGCCTAAATTCAATCTCTGCCTTCTTCATTTCAAAGGATCAGGTGATGGAAAGAGCTTTGTGTACAACTCTGCAGAGCTGCTGCCATTCGCTAGTCTTTTTTGAGAAGATGGACACATTTAAATTTTGGGGAGAATATCTTAGGCTGCTGGGTGGAGGTAGAGACTTGCTTATTCATAAAATGGCTGCCATGCTGGATATGGCTGGTCACAATGCACTCACTTCTCAGAAGGCATGCCAGTTGCACTAAAAGACAAGGAGTTTGCCCAGGGCAGAAACGGGGTCTGGACTTCAAAGCACAAAACGGTCCTTTCAGACTCCGATACAGATGGTTCAGAAAGCCAGCATCTTGCTTTGCATCATTCCAGTGCCCTAGTTAAAAACTAAGTGATTAAAAAATCTTAAACATTAACTAAGAGGCGTGGGAAGTTTAGCAGGGATCAAGGGAGGTGTCTACAGGCAGCTTGGTACCCAAGGGGACTGCACTGGAGAACCCAGAAGAAAATACTGAGCTAGCTGGACACATTCCTAATTCCATGCCTCCAATAGTGCTGACTTTATTCTTTAACATTCTGCCCTTTTTCATTTCATGCCATCTTTCTTGGCCAGTCATCTTAGCAGTCATCCCCGCCATAAGCAGTGAGAGATTTCCTCTCCTCTTCTTCCTCCTCCTGTTGCTTCTTGCCTCCTGCACTTCATGGTTTGATGCTTGACCATCTAGCCCCTCCCAAGGCAATCTGTTAATCTCCATCCAGCAGTTTTTCTGTCCTTTTTCTCAGTCCAGCAGTTTCTTACGTTCCTGTTCCTCCATTCTTGTGGGTCTTGCTTCTGGGCTTCCTGGACCACAGCATTTGGCTTTTTGCCCCTTGGCATTCCTTTTCCATCAGCCCTCACTCTCCTCCACAAAGCCATTCCTGCTCTCATGGCATTGCGGAGGTTTTCTTCCCAGCCAAACTGACAATCTACCTATCCTCTCATAGCCTGGACTGCAGAACATGGACCTCTGTTCTCCCAGCAAGTGGAATGTGGAAATTGTGCATGCAGTGCTGAATTTTTCAGCAAAGTTGAAGCAAATGCATCTTACATGCACTGTTGAGATTTTTTTTCAATTATGTGGGAACTCAATATAAAGTGGAAAGAAGCTGAAAATATGTAAAAACCCTTCTGCAGTACATGTGCATTAGCATGTTCCCATATGCTGTTTGAACCAACAAATTTCTCCTGTTTTAAGAAGATTTGGAATTAAGTTCAGCCTTTCCCTTCCTCCAAGTTTTCCTATGCTAATGTATGATCTGAAGGACTTTGCAGAACTGAAGCTAAGAATACTTTGTGCAGCACAGGTCACAAGTCATGCCTTTCCCACTTCCCCCAAAGTTGACCCATACAATCCAACAAGTAGGCCAGTGCAATCCTGCAAGTTTCTAGTCCTTCCTAGTGATATTTCCTTTGCTGTCTTGCTCTGTTCTCCAGTGTAACTGGCAAAATTCAGAAGAAGCCCTGTCATTTTTACAGGAGAGGACAAGAGTGGACTGGATGCTAGTGAAGGAAAGCAGTGTATGTGAAGTTGATAGCCTATTCTTTGGCATTGTCTATTTCACTGGATTCCTGAGGAGATACAAGGAAACTTGTTGGTTGTGTAGAAAGTGGGGAAAGGGATATAGTATATGCCCTCATGCCCTTAAGATCTATGGGAGAAGCCCTGCCCCGGGAACCCTCTCTAAGAGAGTTAAAAGGTCATCAACTCGGAGTAGGGCCTTCTCTGCTGTGGCGCCCAGACTCTGGAATGTACTTCCCAGAGAGGTATGCCTGCTGCCAAATTTATACTCTTTTTGGCACCAGGCCAAAACCTTTTTATTTAAACGGTATTTTTATATTTAACAACTTTTAACCTTCAGTCGCTCTGTTTGTTTTGTGATGTATTGTTTTGTTGTTTTATTATTTATTGCAATTGTTGTTTTAATTGTCTTTTTAAATATCGTAAGCAGTCCTGAGATCTTGTGTAATAGGATGACATGCAAAAGCTTTAAATGAATAAATAAATACAGTGAAACAAATTAATGTTGATGCTACTGACAAATATTTTCTGTAACTGTATCAGTTCCATCAAAGAATAGAGAACTTAGAAGTTGAAAGCAATCAGTGTCGGTGACACTAAGCTAGGCTCTTTCACAACACTTCTATACTGAGAGCAAAATAAGAAAAGCCATATCCAAATGCGTACAGATCTGCAGAATAAAGTGTGGGTAGAGCGAATGCATCTCTGGAAAAGCACATCTGTTCACACTAAAATCAAAGCTTTCAGTGCGGCTTTGGACTCCACTGTCTCCCAGAGCATAAATTGATTTAAAAACCCAACACAAGCCCTTTTAGAGTTGCATTTCAGTCTTTCACACTTGCACATGTTCCAACAGTGGGAAAGAGACCCAAAGGTGCACTATAAGGGCTGCAATAATTATAAAGGGATTCACTAGAATGTCTGAGTAAATATGCATACAATTAGCTCAGTTAGTGGCACACATGAAAAATGCCTTCTTCCTGCTTAAGGTTGCATAGGAATTTGGCCATGGCTGGAAAGCACTTTCTGCTTGAAAGAAGTAGAAGAAAAATAATGTCGAACTGAATGTACAGTATTTCCGCAGCAAAGTTTACATTTGATCAACACACAATAGAAATGCAGAAAATCTAGACTCCTTTTGGAAATAGTCTATTTTTCTGTACCGGTGGGGAGTAAAACATTGCATAATCGGAGGAAAGGGGGAAGAAATGTTGCATTTAGTATTTATTGTAGATGATATATTCAAAAGAACAGCCTTAGAAAGAACCCTCATTCAAAATAAAGCAAGTTAAAATGGAGGCCATCCAAAGATTTTTGCAAAAAGATTCTATTAAACAGACATCATGCTCAGAGCATTCCTACTGTTATAGTTGAGCTAACTTGGAACCATTCGTGAATTTTTGTCCACATGGCTGTTTCATTCCCAGCAAAAAAACATGAGGCTAACTTTGGCCCTTCTTGGCCCCCTGCATTTGCTCCAACTTTCCTCTGAGCACAGAAATATTTGAAAAGACAACAAAAAGAAACATGGCCTATGCATAGGGCTGAAATTTTAAAACCAAACTGATCTGCAACAGGCTGTTAAGGAATGCAAATAGCATTCATCTATAATGATCTTGAAGGGGGAAAACCAATGGGAATACTTGTTTTCTGACAATATGAAAGCACTGGGACTTCTCTGCAAATGCAGCTCGGTAAAAAGGAGGAGCAGTTCTTACAAATTCACGTTTTTCCTGAGTAAGGATTGCTAGGCCGGGTATAGTTCTACATAATGCGACTCCTCTGATGTGACAAGACTAATATTTAGCACCAACTTTGTGCAATGAAAAGCATGCATTTAATGCAGAAATTAATCAGTAGTTCAAAGCAGGCAGATAAAATATGAATTAATCAATATAGCAAGACAGACATTTTCACCGTCTGTGATTTGTAATGAAAAACACCCAGACTTAAAGAGCAAGGCTGCATTTGGCCACACGTTTCCTTTTGATTCAGTATCCACTAAAACCAGAACTGATAACTCACCAAGACTTGTCCAGTTTGAACTCCATTCCAGAAGTGCCTGCCAAAATAAAGGCCATCATTCCATTAAAAAAAAAAGTTAAAATTATTTTCCCACAGGCTGCTGGGAAAAAAAGTTCATAGTGTAACAATAATAATTCCCTGGATGTGTGTGTGTGTGTGTGTGTGATATGCTTTCTTGCTTAAACTGAAAGAAAACCCAAAATCCAACAATCCAGAGATGTTTTCTGGGAGCCTAAAAGTTTTGACTTGCGTCCACAAAAGTCCTGGCTCGTAAGGAGACACAAATACAGTTGGAAAAGCGGCAGGAAGGAAAGTCTACCCATGTGAGCGAAGAAAAAATGGTTTGGTGGGGGGGAAGTCTCACACTGGACACCCCTTGGACTGATAGAAGAGATTTCAGGAAATCCAAACACTTACACAGGAAACCTGAAGGCTGGATAAACATCCCATAATCTCCACTGTTAACATGCAACTTCTCTGGTTAACCCTCCCGGCTCTGGGCTGGATGTGAGGCTCAGTCAGACATGCTTTTGTGTAACTGGATCTCTCTAATGTTTCTCAGTGTGCTGGCTTGCTTCTACCAAATGACATTACTCCGAGAGCTTTTCTTCCTTCCCCCTCCCCGTACACATTTCTTTCAAATTTTACTAGCATCTGGCAGTTATAGGGGTGGAAGGCTTTGAAAACATTCCCTCTCACTGTGGTTCTTAAACCTCTACCTGGAAAGGTTTTAGTTAAAACTGTAGCAATTTTCTGTCGTTAAATATTTTCCACTGAGCAGGCACATCTGTGATGCAGCTTTGATTTGCAGAAAAGAACGCCGACGTGCTTATTGGCTGTGGAGTTCACCTCGCTGCTTGATCCCACACTCCGTGCCTCTGTCTGTCTTCTCCCGCTCTCCTCTGGCTTTCCCCCTATTGAATAAATCTTCCCTGCTGCTGCTTCTCTTCAAATGCTTTTAGATCTCATTTGCATGGCCCGAAATGTTAATTTCAAGGTATCATCTGTTGATTTATTTTATTACCCTTCCAATCTTCTGTGTTGGGTAAGAGGGAAGAGAGCAAGAAGATTTACAGAAGGAACGTGGAGAGACTATTATAAATTTTGTCATTTCAGGAAAGGAAATCACTTTAGAAGAACTCCAGACATGCGGTTCATTTTATCCGCTCAACAACACTGCTAAGAGAAAGATGCTATCGCCCCCAGACCTTGCCCGGAGGCTCTAAGAGCTCTGTTTGGGCAGCTCTGAGGTCAGAAGGGGGGCTCTGACCTTGGAGCTAGGAAACAGAGCCCCTGCCCCACTTCCCTGCCCCTTTGCAGCATGGAGGACCCCTCGAGGATGGGGAAGGGGGTTTTCCTGGAGATGGGGAGGGAGAAGGCTGGATCGGGCACGGGAGCAAAGTGCACATGGCTTCCTCTTCTGGGGCACTCTAGCTAGATGGCGGGAAAGCTGTCTAGCAAAAATGCCGTGGGTGGGTAAAGTTCATTTGCATGGCTTCTCCCTCTTTGCACTTTATGCTGTATACCTCCGAGTCCGGGGGATGGTGGACATCCAGGCCGGAGGGCAGCCTGAACTAGGATATAATGATTTACCCAGCATAGCTGAAAGTCAAACTCCATGTTATGCCTGGAGCTCTGCAATGGCTCTCCCAGCAGTTAACAAAATGCTGCTTAATTCACACAGAGAGAAAACAATCCCTTTCGCTCGGCGGTTCGTTACTGATGGCTCAGCATAAATGAAAAACTAAATGTAGCCAAAGAAATCAGGCTACTAATCCGATTCGGAAAGTAATGTTAATTTGATTGGGACTTCCCCAACCAGGTACCCTTCAGGTCCGTTGCACTACAGCCCCATCACTCCCACCCACCCTGGCTGGGATTAATGGGAGTTGTAGTCCAATGCATTTGGGCTGTGCCAGGTTAGGAAAAATCTGGCTCAGGGGGCTTTAAATGGGGTTTACCTAAACTTGTGTCTCTTTTGATAGACCCTTTTGAGTCTTGAAGGCTGCCAGGGTTGGCATGTGCCTGATTGCCCGCCCCACAGTGGTGGATGCAGGCCATTCCCTTTCCTGCCCCTGTTATGGGCTCCTCAGTAGCATCTGACTGGACCTTGTGAAATAGAGATGGCCAAGCTAGATGGACCACCAGTCTGATCCACAGGGATCCTCTGATCTATGTGGGTGTTCCACTAAAGATGGCCCTGCTTCCTGGGAGTAGGGTGCAGCTTCATGGACGGCGGAGGCCAACACAGGCAGCTGGCAGGCATCACGGCCATTTCCTCTGCTCTTCTCTAAAGCTAGGAGGTGAATCATCACAAATCTCCCAGCATAATGTGGAGGGAGGAATGTGGATTTGCATGCTTGAAAGGGCTGTAAGAGCAGCCCTCCTGGGTAAATCCAGAGGCATATGTCGTCCAGCATCCTGTTTCCCACAGCGGCCAACCCGTTATCTATGGAAGCTCCTAGGGCCAGCCCTGTCATTTAGGAGAATGAGGTTGCAGCCTTAGGCAGCAGATTTCAGCTGTGGAAAGGGTTGCACAGGGCTAGCTGTGTCGGTCGTTCCGACTCTGTTTTGACCAGCAGGGAAGGGGAGCATACGGGATTCTCTTCCTCAGGTATCAAAATAACCCGGCCAACCTGGAAGTCCACATGAAGGGCTTGGCTGTGCACCAAGCATCGCTGATGGTGTGCTCTCTGCCAAAGGTTTGCAGCCGTGACTCATTGATCTGCACACAGGAGGTTCCAAACTTGTGGAGAGGTTGTGACTCTCCACGCCATGCATGCAAGAAGATGGCGTGCGGGTATGCCTCCCTCCCACTGGCTCTTTTGGCTTGCGGCCTGTGAAATCCCCATGCCCTCTCTCTGGTGGCCCGCCAGCTGACGCTGCCACCAGCCATGCATTGATAGCCCTCTGGCTTTGCACCCTCTCCCCCTTCTATCCCTCCCCAGCAGACAGAAGGTGGAGAAGTAGCCTTGATCGAAAAAGTCCTTCCAATTTGTGATGAGTTGGGCAAGCCAAGACACTGTGGGCTTAAGCGGGGGATCTTTGAGTCAGTAGAGCTCCCGAGCCACGGCAGCTTTTATTCTGAGCTTTTGGGAGCTATCCATGGTGCTGAACTCCTTCCCACAAATAGGGAAAATCTCGTGCTGCAAAATTCTTAACAGGAACTGAACATGACCAAAAATTTCCCTCATCCATAGCCTAGATGGGCAAAACCTATGTGAGTAGACTCAAGAACGCCAAGTCCTGCTGAGAGTCAGTAGGGAGGGGTAAAGCTGCCATTATTTTGTCTAGAGAGCTACAAAAATAGCTCGTACTGCCTGTAGGAAACTGTGGGAGGACACACTGTGTAATTGTGTTTGCTGCCCTGCACAGGACATGCTTTAGGGCTCCCTTGCTTTCCAAAGCGGACTGTGCCCTTCCCAATGTCACTAGACTGTAGCATTCGTCCAACTGTGCAGGGCCGCTCTGCTTCAGAGTCGAGGAACACAAGCGGAAAAGACAAGAGCCAAAGGAAACAACAGGCTATTCAGCATAATTAGCTGGAATGAAATGCATCTAATTCTCTCCCATTAGGATGCCTGCTTTCTGAGTGGGGGAAAAGCCCTTCAGCCAGTATTGCAGGGTCGTTTTCCGTGTGGGCTCCCTGTCAAATCTGGACTCTTGTCTCTGTACTGCTAAGGACTTTGGAGGACTTGAATTCTTCTTTGCACTGGCTTTTGGATCTTCACTGCTGATAGCCCAGGGTTACCAGATGCCTTGGTCTTTTGGACTTTTCTGAACCCACTTACTCTGGGGATTTTGAAGAGGAAACTTTGGCCATCACAGTCTCTGAGTGCCTGTCCAAACAGAGAAGATCTGGGGCAAGAAAGATGAAATGTTCCTTACATGGACTCCCAGCCCCAACATTGGTTTAAAAGCAAGGTGTGGCTGCAGTTGCCATCAATAAGGACCCCTCCCCAACAGGGCATCTCCCTTCTTTCCTTCAGGGTAGATGCTTCAACCTTTGTGGCAGCTCTGAGAATTTCCCTCTTGTCTATTAGTGTCTCTCTGAGAAATTGTCAGCTCCTTTCCTTTCATGGCCAAAGCTAGCCTTAGAGCAAATTTGCTCCTGCCTGCTTTCCTCTGGAGACACAGACAAAGAGAAGCTTGCCCTGGTTCAGATGTTCCACCAGCTGAAGAGGCCCCAACCCATCCAGACAGCTTCCAATTTGTTTCTGGCTATACATTAGAAGCCCCACTGCAGTCTTGCAACTGGACCTCACGGCAGCTGTGAATTGAACCCTGGAAGCTACTGCATACAAAACAGAAGGTATTTCAGTGCAGTATCGTCCAAAGGCCACTCATGCATGGGACCCTATCTTCATCATTCATCTTGTGGTTTTTCCAGGTTCATCATTTTCCTTACATAGATTTCCTGGTTTTCTTTCATGTGCATAAAGACCTAAGGCCTTGTTTTGTTTCTTAAGGTAAGCTGAGAATTTCAGGGGACCAAACTTGCTTCCTAATTTCACACTTGCTTTGCTTCAGTATGTTCAGGCACATGGGTATGTATTGCTTCAGGCACATGGGTATGTATGTGTGAAGAATATGCTTTGGATGGTGGGGGATATTCATTGGATTCCCTGAGCTGAGCTCCCTGATCTCCTAGTCTGCTTTCTTGGGTTGATAAGTCTGACTTCCCGGTGGACGTGCCCAGCTTTTGCGTGGTGCTGGCGCTCACCAAGAACCGAGCACCATGCCTCAGCTGCGCGAGTGGCATCTCTCTTCTGCACATGTGTTTGCAGCCTTTGGGGTGCTGCTGCTGCTACCGCATTCAATGCAGAAGACGGGTGTGGGTTGTGCAACCAGGCTTCTGCAAGCCTTCACAGAAAGCCTTTTGGCTTTGCTGAGCATGCAAGCAAACCCATGAGCCAGAAAGGGATGAATTCTCTCTGAGATCATTGCAGCTCCAACCAATTGGTGCAATATGAAATTTATTTGTTTGTTTATTCATTTCCCACCTTTTTGCCTCCAAGGAACTCAAGGTGGCCAAGTGAACTCTCTTCCTCTACTCCATTTTATCCACACAGCAGCCCTGTGAGGTAGGATAGGCTGAAAGTCAGCGACTGTCCCCCACAGTGAGATTCATGGCCAAGCAGAGACTGGAAGCTTGATTCTCCAAGCCCCAGATATGGAAATGGGACATGTTTACTGCATGCTGGTGCTGATCTTCCTTTCAGCTATTCA